ATATATATATATATATATATATATATATATATATATATATATATATATATATATATATATTATATATATATATATATATATATATATAGTCAAAATTTTACAAATAGTAAAACAGCTGTAATCGCAAAAAGATCGATGTCCATCGCTGTCTGCACTAGACATCAAGAATTTGTGATAACCACACAAAAATAGCCATATATTGTTAAGGGCGGAGAACTGAATACCGCGTATGAGGTGAACTTTAGCGCGGTGTAACACGTGTAAGGTATTCCAAAACTGAAGTAGAAGTTTATGATGTAGAATTCTCTGAGCTGGGTTCCATTTTCACACACGTCCTGACCATCTAGTGCGGCGAAACTGTCCACTGTCGCAGGGTAGTTACGTCATCGAACATGGCAACGCCCACGAAAGCGCGCGTACAAAGTAAATAAATAAGAGGGTATAGCTGGGTTATGCTGACTGAGGAGTAACAACATGGTTCGAACACGTACTTCTGCTGCTCGAGTTTTGCGCGACATGCAGGATAGCTGTGTCCTGGAGAGTGACGAAGACTGCAGCTTCTCTTCGGATGAAAGTGGTGAGGACACCGAGGAAGATGCCGCTGAAGATGTGTGTGATGAGTAAGTAGCTTTTGTTTGTGAGTTGAGTGGATTATTTTGCCTCCGTCAGCTTTGAACTGGCACAAGCATATTTATCCAAAGGGCCTGGATTTCACTTAAGCACCGAGCGTTTCCTGGATGCAGTGTCAATGTGAAAGGGTAGATCACGAGCACCTGGATGCAGGAGCATAGGAAACTTTTTATTATAGTTCGGAAAACTATTTATAGAATAAAAAGTTTAGTGTGTTTTCATAACAGCGTATCTAACACCCTTAACCAAAAATACGTAATGTTCCCACTAAAGCGCCTGCTTTGTCGTGAGACCGTAAAGGGATTTCAAAAGTCGTCGGTATTTTCTTAGAAGTTGGATAAACGTAGCCCATGTACACATTTTGTTTTGGAAGTAGATTTCAGGTATTCTGTATTGAACTGGGGATGTTGGGTCTCGTTCGTCGAAAGTTCGGCCTTACGACGAGTGTATAAAGCTACGTTAATTACAAATTAACCCAGGGAAGCACGTGTACATTTTTATTTTAATGTTCTTATTCACAGTATTCAACGTAAAGCAAAACACAGCCGCTACTCGCAGCCCATTCATGTACTTGCCATGTGTAAAAAGTAATCGGTATGTGTCGGTATTAGTCGTTTTTCCCGACAGCACCTAAGGAATTCAAAGTGAGATGAAATGTATTAGACAAATAGAAATGTTTTATGACCTGTTGCGACTCCGTAGCAAAGCATGGGAGCGGAGCGGGCGGAATTTGGTCAAAGCGCGGAGCGGTTTTTTGTTTAAGACTGGAGCGGTCATTTTGTCTCGCTCCAATACCGCTCACACTACGATTATTTTACTAAGTATTTCCCAAAGAGAACAGATAAATCATAGAAGTTTACTATTAGCAAACGTTTCGGTGAGTAAAGATTCAGTTTGGAATCACTTTTCTCAGAAACATGAGTGTGCTACGCGAACAGGCGGAAGCCAGAGCAAAGCGCGAGCAAGTTTTATATCGTTGTATATTCTTTAGGTTAATAGCCCACTGATTCCTTTATTTTTTGTCCGTCTTTTAAATTGGAGCGAGCGTGGAACGATTTGACTGGAGCGGGACGAAATTTTAGTGGAGCGTGGAGCGGTGTTGAGCGGGCGGAGCCAACAGCCTTGTGAGCGAGGGGCGGAAATTCTCACCGCTCCTCTCCCCTCACATGCTTTGCTACGTAGCTGTGAGGATTTAACGGCTTTCCCATTGTTTTATTATTATTTAAAGCTGAACGTTATGCTAACGCGATGTACCATCGTCGAAAATAAAAGGTGTCAACACGCCGTACATTGCATCTGGCGGTTAAAGGTGGTCAAAAGACTGCTGCTGTTCTGGTGTTAAATGTCCCATGTAAATGATGAAAAAATACTGAATGTATCACCACTGCCGTAATGTGTAGGCAGTGAATAAATAGGTAATTTGTAAATAGGTTAATATGTATTCAATGGTCCCCTCATTGTGTATATATTTTTTCATCGATTATTTTACAGAGACTTGGAGAACATTGCACCTGCAAGCAAAAAAGCACGGTATCAGCACTGCCAGCAATCGCTGTCCTGGAAGACGGAAAGTGATGCTGATGCTGTTCCACCAACACTGCGGTTTCTTCCTGCAAGGGAGCCCGGCGTGCAGCTGAGCATGCGGGACAGTCACAGTCCCGCAAGCCTCTTCAAGCTGTTCTTTGCAGAGGATGCTGTGAACACCATCTGCCAGAACACCAACAAACAAGCTGCCAGGAACAAAGGCAAGGGAGCAAAGTACAAATGGGTGGATGTTGGAGCTGCTGAATTTTACAGATACATTGGGCTGATATTCTACATGGCCATGATGAAGCTGGATCACATAACTGACTACTGGCGGAGAGACAGCATCTTTTCCGTCCTTTTCCCGTCGCAGGTGATGTCAAGGGACAGATATCGTACAATATCTTGGAATGTGCACATGAGTGACCCAGAAGAGGACAGAGAGGATGATGCCAAGAAGGGAAGCTCTGATCATGACAGGCTGTTCCGGGTCAAGCCCCTCATATATACCATTCAGAATGCATGTAAGTCATTCTATCATCCCCACAGATGTCTTGCTGTGGGTGAACGTGTAGCACGTTGGAAAGGTGCCAAGGGTTTCAAGTTGTTTGTGCTCACAGACTCCAGCAATGGTTACACTGTGGACTTTTCAGTGTACACTGGAAGGGACAATGTCCCCACAGGCCAGGGACTTTCTTATGACACTGTCATGTCACTGATCAACAGAAGGTTTTTGGGGTCTGGGTACCATGTGTACATGGACAATTTCTATACAAGTCCAAAGCTTTTCAAGGACTTGCTTGCTTGCAAGTTTGGTGCTTGTGGAACATACAGAGAGTTCAGGAGGGGGTGTCCTCGCAGTGCTGTCAATGACCTGACAGACAAGTCACCTAGAGGGACGTATCGCTGGATAAGGGATGGTCGTCTTCTCTTTGTAAAGTGGATGGACACACAACCGGTGTCTGTCTGCTCCACCATCCATACAGCCTACACTGGGGATACACTACGGAAAAAAGTGAAATCCAAACGGGGTGCCTGGACCACACAGGCCTTTCCGTGCCCCTCGCCAGTGATGGAATACAACAAGGTGCTGGGAGGTGTGGCTTTGTCGGATCGGTTGATCCAATATTATGCAACACAGCACAAAACCTTAGAGTGGTACAGGAAACTCTTTCTTCACTTATTAGATATTTCTGCAACCAACGCCTACATTCTCCATAAAGAACTCATGCAACAGGACGGTTTAACTTACAAGGCTTTCATGGAGGAGCTCATTGCAGAGCTGTGTGGTGTGACACAGAATACACCGATGACCCCTGCAAACACAGCCAGTGGTGCTCATGTGCCAGTTCTTGGGGCTGAGCTTAGCACTGACATCAGGATGAAGGCCACCGCTGGGCGTAAGACCTGTGTGTATTGCAGGATGCATGGGAGAAAGCAAGCAAAAACCCCTTGGAAGTGCAGAGCATGTGATGTTTACCTTTGCCTTCAGCCAGACAGAAACTGTTTTGAAGCTTGGCATTCTGATGGGAACTGACAGTCTGTCGAATTGGGTTAACTTTGAACTGCTTCCAAACTGTAGTTATTACTAAAATAATAAAATATTCTTAAAGAATACGGGGCAAGATGAATTAGCTTAACATAACGGTACATGCCATGAATTAGCAGGGCATAAACTCTGACGAATTAACCACCTTTCCTGGGCACCAACGATCTCCAACAGCTACTTGTATTTAAAAGGAGATGGGATTATCTCTTCTGCAGCTGTGTTTTGAAAGTCCCTTGGCATGTACAGCGTAGGCTGTCCTTACAATGTTCCTGACAGGTGTACATGTGCCAGAAGTGTTTAGTCATACACTTGGAGGACAGGATTTGCATGTTGGAGGGGCACATCAGAACCTTACTGGAGATTTTATTGACAATGCTCAATTGGGGCACGTGGCTGTATTGGGTATGGTTATAGTCCCTCCTGCCACAACTGTCTCCAGTCCAGCACCTGCACCAGTAGCCAGCATATGCCGGCCATGGGTCATGGTCAGACATGGTTCCAAGAGCTCTAAGCTAGGGGTGTGAAACCTGTTCCATGGAGGGCTGGTGTGGGTTTTTGGGATGACCTCTCAATTGGCCAGTAGTAAATGCCGGCACTGAGAAGCAGCTCATTGGTGGACTTTGGCTTTAACGTTGTGAGCACAGTTTTCCTTCGACCAAGAAGGTCCGTTTTTTTTTTTTTCTTTTTCTGTAATGTTAACTTTCCTAGGGGAGTTGGGCGGCCAGTTGACCTTCGACCTCCAGGGCTTTATTTATTTTCTGTGTGTACTTGGGAGTTTTTGGTTCTTCTGTCATGTGGCTTTTGTTCTTTCATTTTGTTTTCCCTCTCCCCTGTTTTTGTTAATTATTGTGTAGGTATGATGCAGGAATGTATTACATCCATATAAAGCACCTTGGGCAACAGTTGTGAAAGCTGCTGTATTAAAATAAATTGAACTGAATTCAGAAATGCTGAATTCTATTCAGCATTTCTCCATTTAGTATAATAAATGCTTGTATTGTCTGTTTTTCTTGTTATAGCTTGGACTGTTATGCCTGAATTGACACTTTTTATCGTCATTAATTTTGTAAGCCACTGGCTTTGAAAGGAATAGTGTCTCCTAAGTTCTAAGACATTAGTAGCCAAACCACAGGAAATTTCTGAATGCTTCAGTCACCTATGTATAGCCAACCCCTTTGTGCATATGCTTCAAACGCTGGGTCAGTTTTTATCCTAGCATTATTAGGGATGCTCAATATAAGCATATGTAGCATTTTGGGATCAATGGCTTTTCTTTTTAAACAGGTAAAATATAAAAAAATATCATGGCATGTCAAGCTGCCACAAAACTGGCTGACTGACTTTAGACCCTGGAGGAATCTTGCTGTAGGAATACCCTACAGTTGAAGTTTGATGTCATGGCTGCATATCGGTACAGCTTTGTCCTCTAAAGGTGAATTGATCAAAGGAGTCTGATCAACTTCATCTAGGGTGACCACCTAATCCATGTCAGGAGGGACACTATGAGCTACTTCAGCTTTTACGAACTACTTTAAAGCTGAAAGGATTCTGTGCTCTGCTAAAATGTTTGGTTAGTTCCTAGATTGAAAGACTCATCCAGCTGTTTCGCATTAACATTACTGACACATATGCATGATTATAGGAGACTGACCAATCAGCATACGGCAAGAACCCAGTGCTTAAGTGAAATCCTGGTCCTTTTAATTGAAATGTATGAAATGGTAGTTTACAAATCCTGTTGTAGCTCATAGTGTCCCTCCTGACATGGATTAGGTGGTCACCCTAACTTCATCTGTATCCATTCCCATTGTCACACAGAGAGAAATTATGCCTCCAATGCAGCAATACATATGCTGTACCAGAAAACATTAAGCACAAGTAAAGAGGAGTCATTAAAATAAACATCAGCCTTAAGGTTTAAATTAGACTGCAGTCTAGCTACTGTTTGATTATATCTGAATTGACTGGACATGTGTACATTTCCAGATAACATCTATTTCACTTTTTTTTTTACTGCTTTTAATCACTATCTGACAGTGTTTACCTAAGTTTACTTTATTCACGGTTTACTCTATAGGGATGGGACAGACTGCATTTACTACAGCTTCCTGATCTTCAGTATCTCAGCCATCAGCTCCTTTGACTGATTTAACCACAACAACCACCTTTACATCTGAACCTCTGCTGCTCTGTAACTGATCCCATATTGTGGGAAGGAAGCTACTTCCTATGCTCACTGAGAGGAAACTCTTGTCAGATGAGTTTTTGTACAGCGTCTCAGTAAGCTTTGATCACTGTGCATCCCTCAGAGCACAGTAGTAAATTGCTGTAACTGCTGTGATGAGACTGTCAATGGTGAGCTGGGTGGAATCCCTGGATGTAGCTGATTTGAATTGTTTATCTGTGCTGTGCTTGACACCATCATATGCCCTGGCACCTTCACAGAGTATAAACTGTGGTCCCTGATTAGAGTGCTGTCTGTACCAGTAAAGATAAATATAATCACTGGTTGCTGTGTAGCTGCAGCTCAGTGTCACTGATTCTCCTTGACGACTGAAATACTCAAGTTGGTCAGAACTGATGTCATCACCAGCACTCATTCCTGAAAGGGGAAAATATGAAAAATAACATTAAAATAATTATCATATTGTTGGAAAGAAATTAACTGGACCAGTGTTAATATTTGTTACATGCTGTATGTGTGGACGTGACAATTTATGCCTTTTTGAATAGTTACCGGTGATGACGGTTATTATAACGAAGATGAATGACTTCTCCATGTGTTACTGGGGTTCACTAGAAATGAACTCTGTTGTTCACCCTGCTTGGCTGAGTTGTGCTTCCTGATTTGTTGTTTTAATGAGATTAGACATGTCACATGACCTCCCTCTCAGAATACACCCACGTCTATTGGCTTAATATATTGCAGACATTTCCACAGATGTTTTTTATGTTATTATTCCTGGACACCACATATCCCAGTAATGTGCAGCAGAGTCAGATTACTGTAAATTCATTCGTTACTGCCTTTTAAATCTCTCAAAAATCCTCATTATTCCATAGCTTTTAACTCTATTTGAGAGCCTTGTTATTGTCCATTTAAGAATTGTCCAATGATAAATTTGGTTTATTTGCAAAGATATAAATAAAGAATCAGTCAGTTGGGTCATCATTCAGCTTCTTGCTCTGTTTCCTTCAGTATCTCAGCCATCAGCTCCTCTGACTGATGTAACCACAATAACCACCTATATACCTGAACATCTGCTGCTCTGGAACTGATCCCAGATTGTGGGAAGGAAGCTACTTCTGATGCTCACTGAGAGGAAGTTCTTATCAAGTGAGTTTTTGTACAGCATCTCAGTAAGTTTTGATCACTGTGCTACTGTCTGGGCACAGTAGTAGATGGCTGTATCTGCTATGGTAAGACTGGGAATGGTGAGCTGGGTGGAATCCCTGGATGTAGTAGATTTGAATCGTTCGTCGGGGATGTGCTCAACACCATCATATGACCTGGCACCTTTATAGAGAATAAACTGTGGTCCCTGATTACAGTGCTGTCTGTACCAGTAAAGATAAATATAATCACTGGTTGCTGTGTAGCTGCAGCTCAGTGTCACTGATTCTCCTTCAATACTGGAAACATCTTGTTTATCAGGACTGATGTCATCACCAGCAGTCAATCCTGAAAAGAGAAAATATGAATAATAAGGACAAAATTATAATGATGTTGGAAAGAATTTTACTGAAGCAATTTTTTAAATACTGTGACAATTCATGCATTTTGAAAGGTTACCTGCGGTGATGGTTATGATAACTAAGATACATGACTTCTCCATATGTTACTGTTGGGGTAACAGACACAAACTGTGCTGTTCAGCCTAATCTGCTCAGTGCTGCTTCCTGATTTGTTGTTTAAATGAGATTAAACATGTCACATGACCTCCCTCTGAGGAATGACCCACATCTATTGCCTGAACATGTTGCACACATTCTCGCATATTACTTTATACAGGTTTAGCATAAAATATAGTTTTTGTATGTAATTGTCTGTGACGGACAGATATCACAGTAATGTACAGCAGAGTCAGATTGTTGTAGACTGAAAGGTAGTTACTGAACTTATCTGACGAAACACAGTAGTAGATGGCTGTGTCTGCTATGGTAAGACTGGGAATGGTGAGATGTGTAAAATCCCTGGATGTCGTAGATCCCCCTCTGCTAATGAGGACAACGTGCTCTGAGAACTTCACGATATGAAATGTGGACATGAGAATGTATACCCAGAGGCCGCTGTATTGTGACTTTAATCACTGCGATCTTCAGAAAGCCATGCCAAGACTCCCAACAGCTTGTCAATTTCCCAACTAGCGTAAACAGCATTTTAGATCACTATTACAGTAACACACAGAATGCACACAAAGCTGTGGGACCACTTGGCAGTCCAGTACAAGACTGAAAACTAATCCAGTTACGATTAGAACTGTTAAGATGTACACTGACAGTGTGCTGGCTGATTTTCATGGCTGCCTAGAGGCTACAGATATTAACATTTTTAAGGAGGCCGCAGATAATATGCACGATTACACAGAGACCGTTAGTAGCTACATTAACTGCTGTACCTCCATCTGTGTCCCCACCCACATTATTTGTGTTTTTACCGAACAAAAGCCCTGATTTAATCCGGATATATGGATAAAGTTGAAGAAACTGTGTGCAGCTTTCCAGTCAGGCAACACTGTGGAGCATAAACTAACCCGATATAAGAAAAAAAAATGCTTCAAGGCTGCCATGCGAGCGTAGTCCCTCAACCCTGAGCGCTGCTACCTAGCCCTTTCATGCTCAATAACGAGCAAAAAATATCCAAATTTTTTAAATACTGTTTTTATTATTCAAAGTTCTGCTTCAATTGAAATCCATTTTAGTTTTTTGCAAAATTCGGTTTGATTTAAAAGTTGTTTAACTGTCCACGCATGTGAACACCATGCAATAAAGGAGCAAAAAGGGATATAACGCCACAGCTGATAATTAATTTTTTCAACCAGTCTTATCTGTTCGGAGAAAACTTTATGCCCTTAATTAACAAACACAAACTTGAATACTCTTCAGTTGTTCTTAGCTAGAGTTAATTGTATGAAAATTAATGTGTTACCAGCCTTTTTACAGTATCTTTATTTCAGTGCATCCCTGTGTTCCTCTCAAAATCCAACAGTGGACGTATGATACTATCATTTATATGGAATGGTAAAAATCCTAGGATCAGTAAGGGCTTTCGTCAGGGACACAGGTCCCAGCAAAGGCCGTCTCTGCCCAATTTTATGTATCACTATTGGGCTGCCAATCTGCAAAAAATGTTATGCACGATACAACCCCAGAGACAGATTTGTGTAAATCTGAATCTAATTCTTGTCTACATGTCTTTTAGCTCTAATTTTCCTCTTGATATTTCTAAATATACATCATGTCGAATTATTTCTAATACTCTTAAAATTTAGCTACAATTTAGACAAAACTTTAAATGAATGAATCTGTCCTTCCTTGGCCCTATATGTAAGAATCATCTCTTCCTCCCTGCTAAAGTAGACCTTGTCTTTAAGGATCGGACTAACCTACTGTACACCTGTGTAAATTCACTGACCTTTACAATAGGCTTTGTGTGTCTTTTTTTTTTTTTATCTATGCAATATAAACTTCCAAATCCTACGTTTTATTAGCTCTCATTGTTGTACCTTTCCGGAGTTGCCACCCAAATCTGGTATGGATACCATCTTGGGAACCCCTACACAATCAAAAGGCTTACTTTCTAAACTATTTAATTGCTCTTACAGATTTGACGTTAAAAAAGATTAGGGTTAAATTATTAGACGAATTTGGAGCAGAGATATCTGACTGCACGTAGGAGCATGCCCTGCCCAGAGTTAATGGAACGACATCATGTGCTTGATTGGGGTTGATTCAGCTTGAGGTCCTTCATCCTGTCCACTATTGTAAATCCAAACTGGCGA